CCCCCAAAAAAAAGGCCTTGTGCAAAAACATTTTTTGTCAGAAACAAAATTTAATCACACAGAGTCAAAATATGGACTGTCTTGCACATTAAGCTATCACGCGTATAGGCCCATAGGTCTCCCGAAAAGGTCTTTTATTTTAAAAAATTCATACAATTTGCCTTAAAATGCAATGCTTTGACATGCAATGCTTCAATGTACAGCAAAACCTCTATAATTTGTATTACATGAAGTACGTGCAACATCACAATAGCGTTGTGTCATTATGTAATATATATCCCCAAGGTTGGCAAGTAAATACAAATTTAAAACTGTATACACAAATTTAATGACGAAAAAACTCGTACATAAACATCGAAATTCATTAAAAAAACTAACTCACTATATATATGGTAAGAAATAACTGTAATACTTCTACATTGTGTTTTTTTCTTCTCTCATCACTTTTAAACGAGTTAATTTTGCGAAAATTCCGAGGAAAATGGCTCAATTTGGTCAAAACTATGCGGGATGACTGCTCCCGGCGTTACGTCACAAAATAAAGCTCTCTGATTTGCTGAAAATGTTTAAAATTTCAAAAAAACTCTCCGATTGGCTGGCTGAAATTTCCCAGTGAATCAGACAGCTTTATTTTGTCACGTAACCCCGGGAGCCATCATCCCGCAATAGTTTTGATCAAATTGAGTTACGAATTTGATGAATTTTCCTCGGAATTTTCGCAAAATTAACTCGTTTAAAAGTGATGAGAGAAGAAAAAAACACAATGCAGAAGTATTACAGTTATTTCTTACCATAGTGAGTTAGTTTTTTTTAATGAATTTCGATGTTTATGTACGAGTTTTTTCGTCATTAAGTTTGTGTATACAGTTTTAAATTTGTATTTACTTGCCAACCTTGGGGATATATATTACATATATAATGACGCAACGCTATTGTGATGCTGCACGTACTTCATGTAATACAAATTATAGCGGTTTTACTGTACATTGAAGCATTGCATGTCAAAGCATTGCATTTTAAAGCAAATTGTATGGATTTTTTTAAAAATAAAAGACCTTTTCGGGAGACCTATGATAGGCCAACGGGCGAGATCTTCAAAACCTGGATTTTCTCCAATTTTGTTCGTTCAAACGCCATTTCTTTGCATGATTTCAAATTAATTTTATTGATTTTGTTTGTAAATAAACACTGTATCTCGCGTTGGCCTACGCGTGCACAAAATTTATTGAAACTTTGATAGTATGTACAAGACAGTCCATATTTTGACTCTGTCTGATTAAATTTTGTTTCTGATGAAAAATGTTTTGCGCGAGGCTTTTTTTTGGGGGGGGGAGGGGGTTAGTAACAGCTTTCGTACTGTAATAACGCTATAGCATTTAAATAATTATAGTGCTAGATGACCAGAGAACGTTAAAGTACCGATATAGGCTTGTTGAAAGTTTTCGCAAATGTCACGCGCATCTGACTTTATCGTGAACTTTTTCCAACTGTGTAGTTTTTTTTTATTCACACTGTATATCTGTTGTGAAATTGATGCCTTATAGAGAACAAACTTGTATCGATATAGGTCAGAAAATATGTGAAAGCAATAACAAATCCTCTATTTTAAGGTTCTAAGGCCGTAAAAAGTTTACGAAAATAGTTAGTTTTTTCAACAAATTCTGCGCGATCTGCACGTATACGTTTTATATAAACAGGAGTATCTATAGCATGCGCAGTGGCGTAGCCAGCCTGACAATTTAGTCCCGCTATGCAAATTCAGAATTATTATCATTATTCATTTCTTTAGAAATTGATTGTTTTCACAGTCAATGAACACGAGAATATTTGCATAGCGGGACTAAATCGTCGGGCTGGCTACGCTACTGAGCATGCGGACGTGACGAAAAACACAGCCCAAATTCACATGCATGCAATGTCAACAACACGGGTAAAAACTACTGATTTTTTTGTAAACAGAAACGGACACAGATAGGTAGGCAAGTTTTAAACTAGTAACAAATCCAAAAATAAAACAAAAGTAGGCTATATAACTGTTTCTTCGTCACGCCTGCAATACTAGCATGTCTTAATTAAGCTCCTTGTTGCAGAGTATTTGACGGGCTTCGTTGCATAATGGTCAGAAATTGACTTCGAAATTCCATCGAATTTAGAATCGATCGCGGCTTGTGAGAAAATGCATGATATAGATGTTTAAAATAAGAGAAAAAAAAAAAAAAAAGTTGTTTCTAACATGAAGTTAAAAGTCCTATACCTTTAACACTTATATTGACAAACTCAGAGTTGTAATAATTAACTTGAGGACGAAATACTTCACACTTGTATGTCCCCGAATTTTTTGAAGACAGCGAATTCAGCGTCAGAGTTAAGATTCCAGATCCATTGAGTGCAGATTTTAGTTTTATCGGATTTCCTTGTGAATCAAGTTTGTACCATATAATTTTATATAAATTGGTATTTTTGTCTGCCTCGCATGTCAAGTTAACATTGCTTTTAGCATCGTAATATTTTTCATTTGGGTTCTTCTGAATTTTCGATTTCATCTGAGCTTGTCCTAAAACAAGAATATTAACGTCAAGGATGGGAAATACAAGCTACAACTTGCAACAAAATCTGATTTTAACGCATACATATTAGAGTGTATATACCCATGTCTTGTGTTTTTTAACAAATATGTAAAAAAATTTAACATGTGACGAAATCAGATTTGTTGTATGAGAGGCTATAAGCGTGTGCTTTAGATTTTGTCATGAGTGTCTAGATATTTATCCCCGAGCCAACGGCGCGAAGCGCCCTTCCGGCGTAAGCCCGGAGCGAGGGTACTAATTCCGCACGGCTATTACACCCGGGGAAAGGAACGCACTAGCGAAGTCTAAAGTTCACTTATCGCGGGCGCATGGCTCACCGTTCATGGGTGGTTACCCTCACTGATCTCAAAATATGCAGCGGACTGTCGTGAATAGTGAACACTGATTGGTCAAATTTGAAATTTGCATTATAACGACTGCACGACGACAGCGAAATAACAAACATTTCTTGCAAGTTGTATTTTTGTAACAAGATTTTGTAAATGTCAAAAGCTTTCTGAGAGCCAAAGAATGGAGCAAAGTCGCCGACGTTAATGAAGGTAAGTTTGTTTTTAATATTGATGTTTTGTTTGTTTTATAATTACTTTAAAAACTGATACGATCGTTGCGTATATAAGTGAAAAAAGACGGCATATAATTTAAGCCGGTGTATGTTTATTAATTGCCCTTTCTTTTGTATATTAAAATATTTAAATAAAAAGGAAAGCAATGTTACTTTCATGCGAGAATTTGAAATCAGTTTATTTCAAGCTCAATGTTTACCGTGATAATTCGATAAAAGGCAGTTTAGTTTTAATAACATGTTAAAACGTTTTGCGAAGCGTTTGTGGTTAAATTTTACATTATAAAATTCAAGCTTAAAAACATAATGGTTTGTCAGTGTAAGGCGAGAGTTTCTGCATATGCGTGTATTTCCTAGTATAATATCTTAAGAATTCAAGCGATTTCATTTGTCGTGAGCCATTTTCTATTAGACGGCAGTCGCAGTTTTTATTGGATTTTTTTTAGCATAATCAGCAATATTTTTATTAGGCTTTGCCAAATCAACTTAAAATCACTTGGTATACATATGAGCCAAATGGACAAGCCTGTGCCACACCCCCAACTAAGGAAATTAGGTTACGAGAAAAACGAGAGAATTGTGAGCGAGGAAGCGAGTACGTATTTTACAGCGATCATTTGTGAGAAAATTTTATGTTTTATTAAACTTTTATTTTAAATTTATTTGTGGTAAGTGTGCATGCATTAACTTCTCCAGCACACTTTGGTGCAGTGACCAGGATTTATTCGCAAGATTTAAACGTTTATATTCGAACATGAGCAACGAGCAGACCGAAGAAAGTTTACAACTAGAAATCAACAAGGAAATAGAAAAACTGAAATTTACGTTGAAAATGCTGACGAAACGATCAACGAAGGAGATTTTAACGAGATCAAGATAATAAATAACAGAGCAACAGCAATTTTGGATAAAATAAACACTCTAGTCGCGAGTATTCAAGAGTTAAAAATCGATCGCGGGAAACAGCAAGGAATGTTCGACAATGGAAAAAGGAAAATAAGGAAATTTACAGGCCGCTAGTGGAAAAAATGGGAAAACTATTTGACGCTTATGCATCAGTCAATTCTAGCATTGCCCATCCCCCCCCCCCCGGGCAACCCCCGGGCATTTGCACTTTTTTTTTCTTTAAGTTGACAATTCCCGGGGGTCGGGCAGAAAATGCGTGGCAATGCCCCGCCCCCGGGCAAAGAAAAGATGACAAATGCCCGGCCCCAGGGCACACAGACTCATTTATAGAATGTATTTTAGACCTCAAAACTTCCATAACATTATTAGCTTCCTTGTATAAAAGCTACAGCAGTCATCCCAACTTTTGAACATGAAAAACGTGCTCGTAGGTTCAGTGGTTAATATACAATCACGTAGCAAGATATAAAACAAGGATTGTACTATGAATTCTAGTGTTTTTATGCTAGATAGTTAAACACAACTTTAATTAGTTTCTCATGTGCGATTGGTGTGACGTTTTGTGAATGAAAATATCGACAAAATCCTCGTTTTTACGCCCGAATTCTTCGACGCCATTTTAATATAATAGCACGTGTTCGTCGCAGAAACGTCCGGTTGAGTCAAATTCCCGGCCGGTAAACAATTCCCCGCCCCCGGGACAACTTTGCAAGTACCAATGCCCGGCCCCCGGGCAAAAAAAGAGTGCAAATGCCCTGGGGTTGCCCGGGGGGGGGGGATGGGCAATGCTAGAATTGACTGATGCATTATAACCAGAAACAAAGGAAAACAAACGATGAAATCGAGCGGGAAAAACAAGAAGCAGAACGAAGAACGTCGTCGGCGAGAAATACGTGAGCGCGAAAGAGAAATGTGGGAAGAAAAATTTAACGCAGAATTACGAATAACCGAGAAAAAGATTGAAATGGAAACACAGGCAAAGGCTGGCTTGGCAAAACTTCCACGTTTGAAAATTACACCATTCAAAGGTACGGCAGCTGATTGGGTTTGGTTTGAAAATATGTTTCTGACTCAAGTTGACAGCAGACCGATTTCTGAGCAAGAAAAATTTGGTTATTTATTAGAGTCGGTGGTACCTAAGGTAAGAGATAGAATTTCTAATCTAAAACCAAGCTCTGTGGGGTATAAAACGGCATGGGACCGTTTGAAAAAGGAATATGGGCAAACCCGAGCAGTGATCGGTGCGCACTTAGATGAAATCATCAACTTATCTACTATTAGAGGAACTAATCATGAGAAAATTCAAGAGTTTTATGATAAACTAAGCAGAAACTTTGATGCTTTACAAACCCTAGGAGAGGGGGAAAAATTACAAGGATTTGTTATGAACACATTGAACAAATTACCACATGTAAAGCCCGACCTAGTAAGGGTGGATAGCAGCTGGGAGGAATGGGAGATGGGAGCTCTGATTAATAACTTACAAGCATGGTTGAAGAGAAACAAATGTGATGATGGTTTCAAACCCCCAAGTGATAACCGGAAGAGAGAAAGAAATTGGTACGGGGGGATGGGAAACTGAAATCGAAGTGCATATTATGTAGTGAGGAACACTGGAGTGATGAGTGCAAAAGAGTAGTTACACGAGATCAGAGAAGGAGGTTCTTTGTCGACAAGAACTTACGCTTCAATTGTGGACATACTGGTCATAGGGGGTCCCAGTGCAGTAGCCGAGGTTGTTTCAAGTGTGGGTCAAAGCATCACACCAGTATATGCGACAAGAACCAAAATCCCAAATTGGAGACGGGGGGTGTACTCAATGGTTACAGCAGGTCTCCTGAGAAGAATTCTTTACCAGCCATTATTCCAGTCAAGATTTGGGGGGAGGTGATGTGGGCTTATTTAGACACTGGTTCTGCTAGGAACTTTGTTTCTCGGGACGCAGCAAAAATGTTAAATTTGAAGCCAAAACGCCATGAACCGAGAGAAATTGTTACTCTGAATGGGATCACAAATCAGTCAATGCCGATTTATGAAATAGAAATAAATGCTCTTGACGGGGGAGCACGAGAGAAAATCGAGGTTACTGGTTCGAAACTTCCAGACTTTACGACAGTCAGAAGACCTCGTATTCCTGAGCTAAAATTAAAGCATGAACACACAAAGGACAAAACATTTTACTATACTGAAAAATGGGAAATGCCAGATTCATCTGATTATTGGAGACAACACGTTTAGTCGAATCCGAACTGAAACTGTGTGCAAGGGGGAGCAGGGAGACCCGATCGTTGAAGAAACCAGTTTCGGTTGGGTAATACATGGGGGCGATGACTACACCGATGACCAGTGCATGTTCACAAGGGAGACAAGTGACTGTGAGAGACTGTATAGTTTAGACGTCTTGGGAGTCGAGGACAGAGGAGACACCAACAGTGAAATTCTGAATGAGTTTACGGAGAACCTTACGAGAAAGGAGGACGGGGGTATGAGGTCAGTTTTCCATGGCTTTCAGGGAAAAGACTGTCGGATACAAACGAACAGTAGAGTAGGAAACGGTTACAGAATGTCGATAGAAAATTAGATAAAACCCCTGAACTAAAGCGAGAGTACAACAACAACATAAGCGAACAGTTAAGCCAAGGGGTAGTGGAAGTAGCCCCAGACACCCACTGGGGACCGGGTTTACTACATGCCGCACAAACCGGTTGTGCGCCAGAATGCTACCACAACAAAAGTACGAATGGTCTTCGATGCGAGTGCAAAACCTAATGCATCAGCTGAGAGCATAAACGATTGCATATATACTGGCCCTCCGTTGCAACCACATTTGTGGGACATACTAGTACGAGCACGGTTAATTAGAATCTTATATTAGCAGACATCCAGAAAGCTTTTCTTCAGATTGAAGTGAAGGAAGAAGATCGTGATTCTTTCAGATTCCTATGCAACGTAAATGGCATGGAGAAACACCTACGTTTCACACGTGTGCCGTTCGGAGCGGAGGCAACATTGCAACACCACCTCGGAAACCAACCCCCTGAATATCAAGATATCGTCGACGCGTTGAAGAAAAATACCTATGTGGACAATTTAATGTACGGTGGCGAGGATCTGAGTAGCTTGGTGAAATTCAAAGACGAAAGCAGCAGGATCTTGGAAAGTGGTAAATTTCCCGTCCACAAATGGGAAAGTAATGTCGAGTCCTTAGAAAGCAATGACATGCCAAACCTTACTAAATTCTTGGAACATATGTGGGACAAACGGGAGGAAACCCTCGAGATAACAGTTCCTGATTACCCAGAAGGTGATCCAGTGACCAAACGAAGCATCCTTAGTCATTTAGGAAGCATATATGATCCACTTGGGATAATCTCTCCTACCCTAGCTGAGGGGAAACGAATCTATCGCAATGTGTGTGACGAGAAGAAATGTTGGAATGCGGAAGTTTCTCCTCAATCGAAATACCAATGGTTGAAGTGGACTAAGCAGTTGAGGAATGCTAAGGTGCCTCGAAGTATTAATAAGAGTATCAAGAGAATGAAAGCAGTTCACCCTCACGTCTTTGCGGATGCAAGTACTTTTGCTTGTTGTTCAGTAGCTATCGCTGTTGTGGAGAGTAATACGGGCGTTGTCAAAGGCCTCCTAGCTTCGAAGTCGCGAATATCAAAACGGGACACGTCAATTCCGAGGCTCGAGCTTGTCAGTGGTCATATGGCCGCAAACATTGTAAGAAACCTGTGCAACGCTTTACGCGGATGGCCTATCAAGCATAGAGATTATAAATAACACTAGAGGGGGCATCGAGGTTAAAAATTGGGAACGCAGCTAATGGGGGGCAAATTCAAGTCCTGGGTATAAAATCGTGCTTTGATTGGCTGATTTAAAACTCGTCACCAATGGAAACAGGAATACATATCCGGGACTTAAATTTGCCCCCCAATTGCCGCGTTCCCTTTTTTTGACTGAATTAAGATTACAATGCCTCCTCTAGTGTTATTTATAATCTCTATGCTATCAAGTCCGTGATCATATGGATGGATAGTCTTGTTGCATTCTTTTGGATAAACAATCCGGGCAAAGCTTGGGAGGTGTTCGTAGCCAACATAGTCAAGCAAATGGCGGAGATAACCGACGAAGTGAACATTGTGTGGAAATACTGTCCGACAAAGATGAACCTTGCAGATTTAGGAAGCAGGGGTGCAAGCATTGATAAGCTCGAGGGCCAAGAGTGGTTTGCAGGACCAAACTGGCTCCTCAGCGAGGACGAGTGGCCTGAACAACCCGAACTAAAGAAGAACAGAGAAACACATGGTGAGTACAAAACTACTGAACCAATCTTCTACTGTAATGAGCAAGAAACCGATGAATGGGATGATCTACTCGATCGAAGTTCATATTGGCGAACTTTACGGCCAGGATTTTACGCTTTGTAAATAACTGTCGTTCTAAAGCAAGGAGAGACAAACGAAGAAATGGTCCACTAAATACGGACGAAATCACGAGTGCCAGAAATAAATGGGTGAGGAGAGTGCAGCAGAAAGATCGGCCAGATATCCAGTCGCCGGGATGGAGGTTGGTAGAAGAGCGTGACACCGGGGTACTCAAATGCGAAGGACGAGTAACGAATTATCAGCCAATATATCTTGGGAGAGGAGCGTTTGAGGACAAGCTTATTTCTCATGTCCACATGAATCAGATCATGCATCTCGGTGTTTCAAACACAATGACGACTCTTCGAGAACGTGGTGGATTCCAAGGTTACGTGAGAAAGTGAAGAAAGTCATCAACAAGTGTAACGTTTGCAAATTATATTCGGCAAATCCGCTTGAAGCCCCAATCACAACGGAAGGTGACCGACCATTTGAAGTGACCGGCGTGGACTTCGCAGGACCGCTGCACTATAAAGTTACTAAGAAAGATGACGGAAAATGCTATGTCTTAATATTTACGTGCGCAGCCTCAAGAGCGGTTCATTTGGAAGTAACGAAAGATCAAACGGCTACAGAATTTCAGAGGAAACTCGATGCTTTCATTACCTGTAGAACGAGACCGCGTATGATAATATCGGACAACGTCACAACGCGCAAACTTTCAAAGTTACAGCTGATTGGGTGAAGATTATAAGGAAGAGCGAGAAAATGCAGAACTTTCTTGCAAACGAAGGAATCAGGTGGCAATTCAATCTTGCGAAATCCCCATGGTGGGGAGGTTTCTACGAAATGCTTATTAAGGAAGTCAAGAAAACTTTATATAAAACGCTGGGGAAATCTCACTTGTCATTCGAGGGCATGGAGCAAGTGGTAATGGATATTGAGAAGAATTTGAATAATCGGCCATTGACGTACGTGGAGGGCGAGACAGAGTTGAAGTTGCTAACGCCAAATGTTATTATGTGGGGAGGAAATGCATATCCACTCGAGGAACTGGAAACAGACACGGACGAGTTGACATCGATGAACAGGCGGCTGATTAACGCAAGACAACACGCATGGCAACGCTGGAAAAGGGAGTATATGCACGCTTTAATGGAACACATCGTACAAAAATAGGTACGCATTGCGTACATGTGGTTAGCCTATAGGATTGGCAATTGTTATAGCGTCATATAGCTGATTTCGTTCAATATAATGAACGAAATATCTTGGTTGATTTTTCAACCATTGAACCATAAAATGTTTATTCTTTGTCGTATGAAATCAAATACCGTATAACATAGCCATAATACAGCAACCTTTTTAACAAACCAGAAAGTATTAAATTAACTCTACTATTTCGTTGTAAACGGCTAAAATAACATTTTAAAACTTTTTCTCGCTCAGTCACAAACATCGTAGGTCGCTAAAAGCTGCCAACATTTAAGAGAGCTTGTCTGTAAAAATCGCAATAATTCACCATTTTTTGGCAGATATGAAAAACTGAAAGTTCTTCAATTTCCCTCGATTTTATATATATTGTAGACCTATCCAACCCCACATATTTACTGAAGTTTCAGCCATGAAACACAAAATGAAGAAAAGTTAGAGTACTTCAAAAATCGAACCAAAAATGACGCGAAATGTCCAAGAAATGTCGCTAAATAAAGCAGTAAACATCATGTGCTGTGCTGAGCGCGCATTATAAATTTTGGTCTGCTGTTCCAATATATGTTTTTAGAATATATGGAACTTTCTTGTGATATCTTTTCTCCATAAATCGAAATGTTATTGACTTGGTTATTTTAGATCAAAGATGGTTGAAATTTCCGGGTTCTCCAAACTAGCCAAAGTACGTCTTGGAAATCGCCTATTTAAAAATGGTCCTACTTTCTTTTTAAAGGTACATATGCATAATTTGTTAGGGCTAGGATGTAGTCATTCGACGACGATTTCAGATGTTTGGGATTCTTTTGTGTCTTGGCGAAATTTGATCTTAAACATGTACAATATTAGCGTAATTGCGTGCTTGTATTTTATTAACCGGCGCGTTCACGATTCCAATATCTTAATAATAATAATAATAATAATAATAAAACTTTATTTAATGAGGGATTACATTGATTACTTAATATAGTATTCTTTCCAATGGCCCTCGATATCTAATAGTAATATATAAAAAGAAAATCCTATTGAGAGTAACATTGACAATGAGTAATATGCTTACAATCGATGCAGCGGAATTTATTAACGTGATCTACTTCATAATTCAATTGAATAAAGTAGGTTTTGAGCTTCTTTTTATAAGAATAAATTGAGTGATTTTCAATATCTTTTAATTCGGAAGGTAGAGAATTAAATAAACTTGCACCACTGAAGGAAATTTTGGATTTTGCTTGCGTAGTCTTAACTGATGGAACTTTTAAGTCTGTAATAGACGATCTAGTTGGAATTGGATGAGAGTCGCGAACAAAGACAAACAATTTACGAAGATCCGGCGGCCAAGATGTTTTTAAAGTATTGAATACCAATAATATTTTTCTCATTTTGATCAAATTAAAAATAGGTATCCAGTTGAGTTTACGGAAAAGCACAATTGAAGGCACTTCAGTTGACTGCTCAAGAATTAGTCTCGCTGCACGTTTCTGTAGTTTTAGTAGGCACGTAATTAGATCGTTATTAGCATTGCCCCAGACTGTGCTACAATATAGCAAGTGTGGGTAGATTAGTGCGTAATATAATTGAATACGGGATTGAAAAGTGAGATAGCTACGTATACGTTTGAGCAGGTAAAGTCTAGAATTGATTATATTGTAAATGGTCTTACGGTTGTTCTATTCAAAAAGTTAACATGCTTCACTGTAAATGACACTGAGAACACAGAGTTTACTTCTTAATGATTTTCTTTGCATTCAAGTTACTTTGTCTACAGTATATGTGTATATACATACTGCGCGCACGCACGTACGCACGCACGACCAAGCATGCATTTTAACTTTTTTCGAATGTAAAAAACATAGCCGCAGCCCCAAGGTTACATGGCTTTAAATTGCGGTGCCCGTCCAAGTTTGACACCGGCTTTACTGATTCTGTCTGTGAGTTTGTACGTTTATGCGGAATCACAAGCATATTTACTTGATGTAATCTCTAAGGTAATAATTATTTTTATTGCTGCTGACGCTGCATATTTAATTGTTTACATTTCCTATCGATACATTCATGTCGACTTGCATTTTATTACACATACTTTGAAATAACTTTTCTTACGTATCGATTCGACAACATAACAAATTTCCAATTTTCCGACGGGTTTCAACAATGAGAGGGGGGGGTCTGCCAATAGGGGAGGGGGGGGGCTTGAAATCCCGCTTAAGGACAAACTGTTGTCAATATGCAACTATTTATTCTGTCATGCACTTTAGTGTCGACGGTTTTGACTTTGTTTTAGGTTTGTCCCTAGAAGACACTAGGGCACCGGTTTGTTTTATAGGTTTGTCCCTAGAAGATACTAGGGCATTATAGAACTGTGTCTGGTTACATGTAATACTTTCCGTGCATTGTTATATTAATACGACAACGTTTTTATTTATATTTGTATAGTATTTGCATATCTGCATGATTGTGTTTTTCATAGTGTAAATTTGAGTTAATTTAAAAACGCATGACCGATATTTAAGAGTGAAGCGTGTGTTCTCAGTGACGACTACAGTAAACACAGAATCGTTTTGAAAAAAATTTAAGAAATAAGTTCACAGTGTCACGCTCCAGTTAATACGAACCACTCAATGGGCAATTCCAGCTATAGATCATATAGACTAAATTTTGATCTAGGCAAGAAGAACAAAATCCATCTAGAAAGAGCATGTTAAAATTAGTAAAATTGCAAAGTTTGGCCGCGAAATGTTGCAAAATGAGGAAAATAATAGCAATACGAAATTTGCAAATTTTGTATACCACATTTGGGCCGAAAGTGGTGCAATTGACCACTTGCGCAATAGGCTAAATTTTGATCTCAACAAAAATC